CATGATGTCAAATTGCCAATAGTTATCGAGTTATTAATTAAAACATGTGAGCCAACGAGCGCGTAGAGAGCGGAGGGCGACCGCAGTAAGCACGTAGACATGATACAGGCGGAGTCAGCGAGTGACGGTAGGCGAGCGCGCGCGGCGAGGGGCAACGTAAACAACAAGAGGCGAACGCGCGCGACGAGGAGCGAGCGAGCGCGAACGACGAGGAGCGAGCGAGCGCAAGCGACAAGAGGCGAGCGAGCGCGACGAAGAGCGAGCGAGCGCGAACGACGAGGAGCGAGCGAGCTATAAGGAAAAAGCTATAAAGAAAAAGCTCTCGCTCGCTCCTCGTCGCGCGCGATCGCCTCTTGTCGCTTACGTTGCCCCTCGCCGCGCGCGCTCGCCTACCGTCACTCGCTGACTCCGCCTGTATCAAATGTCTACGTGCTTACTGCGGCCGTCCTCCGCTCTCTACGCGCTCGTTGGCTCACATGTTTTAATTAATAACTCGGTAACTATTGGCAATTTGACATTATAGTACATGACTTTTCTTCTCGGCTACACCCAATCTATCTCCATCTTTCGTCTGCATGAGCAGCTATCAAACACCCTGTATATTAAAATTCCATGATCCGCCAACTTGAATCTGCAATCTTGAACAATGAGTTTTGGACCTCGGATTCATAATTCAGCGACCTTGAAAGCTAACCAAAGTACAATTTCAGCTAATCGTAAAAATTTTATGATCCGCCATCTTGGAAAATAAATTTTAGAATGTGAACCTCAGATTCGTAATCAGCGACTTGAAAAACTAACCAGAGTACAATTTTAGCTAATTTATTAAAAATTCTATGATCTGCCATGTTGAGTCCGCCATCTTGGAAAAATAATTTTGGAATGTGGACCTCAGATTCGTAATCAGCGCACCCAAAAAACCCTCAGATCTTGATTCTGAGCAAAAAATTCACTTATAGTTTGTGGAAAATGATTTTTTCTGTAAAAATGTGTATTTTTCACACTTTGTTTATTTATAATAAATGGACAACTTATGCAAAACACTTTTCAACCTTTCATGTATGTTCCCATATCATATAAGAAGCTAAAAAACGCAAAGAAATCCGACAAGAATATCTCAAATATGAAATATTTCATGAAAATGTGAGGATAAATAGATGGTAAATATATTGTATAACACTTACCACTATGCCTCAAAGGGTTAACGCTGGAAAACCCTTTCATGTCGATTTCGTACGTCGCGATGCAATTTCCATTGTCGCGAGACCCGCCGTTGTCGTTGTCCGCTGCGCGCCGCGGACTTAAATAATAATTTTGCCAATCAATTTATAAAACAGCTTCATACACTTGAAGCAACGGCGAGCGACGGTCGTCCGCTCGCCCGCTCGCTCGCTCGCTCGCCCGGTCGCGCCCCGGACATCGCGGGATTAACCACTTTGCGCGGCCATTCTGCCGTAACACAAAGGATTACGCGCATTTAAAATAGGTGTTGTTTGCACAAAAGATTTATTGTTTACTCCCTCGCTATGTGTACTAGCGCCATATCTGCGGCAATTCATAAGCGTGACAAGGGCGCGCATATTATAAACGCGTCGCGCGCGTCAAGTCCTTGGCGCCGGAGAGACGTTTCCATGGTGATATCATCATGGTTGGCCTATTTTCAACGGCGAGCACGTACTCATTGACTGTACATACGCGCGGGCGCCAATTATTGCAACAATGCTCGCGACAATCACAAAGGACGCATCCGCCGATTGCCGCGATATTAGTCTTGATCGTCTGACGATCTCATCGCCTGCAGCAGCGATCGTTCGAGTTCGTTCGAACAAATGTTGGATCGCTCTCCTCCCCCCTCCCCTCCCCTCCCTCCTCTTTCTCTTTCTCTCTCGGTGTCCATAAATGCGCGCCACAAGTGCATCGGCCAACATTTACTTGTCTCGCGGCATCTCTCCAAATGAATCAGTAAAAATATCTCTCGTTGAATCGGACGTTTCGTCGATAATCATTGAATAAAAAAATTATATATGTTTATATATGAATTTTATTTATGTATGACTATATATAAACGTACATGCCCGTACTGAAAACAAGGTGTGGCACAAATACGATTAAAATAATTGCCTATACTTGTGGCGGTGAGTGAACAAAGTGATTGCTCATTTTCTTCACTTCACGGCGTTTCCCTTCGTTGTAGACACGTTATATAACTTCGTACGGTCAGATACACGGTCATATAGAGACAGAATTAATAATAAATTTAATATAATATATTAATAATATAGAAAAGAATATAAACAATATAATCTAATATAATTTATGTATTGGGTTGAGTAAGAAGTACATTTCGTATTTAACTTAACGCAGATGGCGTTAAGAAGTATTTAGTGCAATCTTTACTCAATATCTGACACCGTATATTTTTCTGAAAGGTTAGGTTTTCCTGCGTATTTTAAACTGTTATTTGTCAAAATCTATTTAGTAATACGTTTCTGCACCACTTTTACCCAATTTAAAAGTTGGTTTTTCGACCGACGTATACAAAGTGACTTTACACAAAATGTCAAACCACAGTGAAATATCAACCGAATTCGCTCAAATTTTGAGGTTAAGTAGATGAAGGGTAGAACATTCACCTACCATCATTCACTCATAGATATCGCTGCGCTAAGAACTTTGATGGAACCAGTCTCATCGTATCTGGGACAGACTGTGTATGTTTGAGCCCTTAATTTGTAATTAACTTAACTTATAATTAACTTATAATTAATAACTTAATTATAAATTATTTTAGATAATTAAATATATATTTTACTTTAAGATGATATTACAATATTAACAGTCACGTTAAATTGTTTAATGATTCGATTCGATTTTTTTCGATGCGATTCGAATTCGAATGAAATTTCATAGATTCAATTCGATTCGAATTCGAATTAAAAAACTGAGATTCGATTCGGTTCTATTCGACATAAAAATTCGCACATCTCTATACACCTCACGTATCTTTGGCAATCCGGAAAAAATTATTGCAATTTGACTGAGATATCTTGTCTCATCCTCCATATTCACCTAATCTGGCATCATCAAACTTCCACTTATTCAGGTCTCTGCAGAATTCCCTCGATGAAAAAAAGTTCACTTCTTTGGAAACCTGCAAAAAGCATTTTGAACATTTTTTCGCCCAGAAAGCTAAAAAGTTTTAGGAGAATGGAATCTTTAATTTGCCCGAAAGGTTATCGAACAAAACAGTGCATACATTGTTCATTAAAGGTATTTTTTAATGCGAAAATGTTGTCTTTGAATTTAATCTAAAACTACGAAATCACTTTTCATTCAACCCGATACAAATATAACGAGAACGAAGATTTCTCATAAAGTTGCGTGTAGTCTTTCTTCATCGGGGTACTCGCCGTTAATCAGTGAATATCCACTGATTATCGGTGGCGCACTTTACTGGAGCTCGTCCGTTTCATATCTCACCGATTCAGAGCGGCGAATGGAAACAAGACCTCGCTGCCTCGTACTTGAGAACTTCCAAGTGTCCCAACTTCTCAAGTGTTTGTTGCGCGATCGAGACTATCCAAGCGTGATGAAGGCAAGCCTTCGCGATACGTTTATGCGCGCAATGATCTGGCGAATTGACGCCGATTACGTCGTGAAATAACGGTGATCGCGCTTGAGAGAGCGCCCTCCCCGCCATCCCTCGAGAACTCGTAAGGTGACCATATCCCAGTCATAAGAAAAGAGTAAAAGACGGGTAAAAAAAGTGTACAAAAGAGTATTAATTATGGTCCCAAAAGAGTACAGTAAGTAGAACACAAAATCATATAAAAGTCAAGGTGATGTTAAATAATATAAAAATTATGTCATTTTGACGTCAAAATGATTTTGTGTTTCATCTGGGACAATGATCAATGGATTACTAGGTATAATATTTAAAATAAAACATAGTACTAACAGGGTACTAAATAAACCGAGAAATACTAGTCGAACACATATATTTTATTATATTATCAAGATATTTTATAATTATATTTTGCACTACTCCGTACATCGCTTAACAATTTCTTATTGTTTAGACAACAATCGTAAAATTCAGAACAATTAAATTCTTTATAATTGTATTTAACCATTAATCAACTTTTTACCGAGTCAACAGTAAACCTATTTCTTTCATCAGCGTCCATTGAGCGTTCATCATACTGAAAACTCTTTCTACGTTTGCATTGTGGCTCGGTAGTTGCGCAGAACCTCTTAAGCCCGTATCACACTACGGATTGAAGATCAAGGATTGCGGATTGAAGATTAGATTTCGACAAATCAACGAACTTCGGTTCCGATTTGCTTTATTCCGATTGGTCAAATTTCAATCTTCAATCTGCAATCCTTGATTTTCAATCCATAGTGTGACACGGGCTTTACGCATAATCGCATATTGGCGCTCGCGGCGCTCAAATGCTGTGACTGATAAAAACATACCACCAAAGTCTGCTCTCTGGTCATTATCGACAAAGTATAATTAACATTACGAAAAAAAGAGTATATACAAGAGTACGATAAAAAGTAGAGAGTACTCTTTTTACCACCTTAAAAAGAGTACATATGGTCACTCTTACTCTACGGACGTGATGTCTCACGACGGCGTTTCTCCGTGAAGGCCGCACAGCCGAAGGCTGTCGCCGTCGAAGGGACAGCGCGGGGTAACTCGACACGACGACGCATATTCCTTCGCCATTTGCGCGACGTTTATCCGGCTGTCTATTTTCAACGACGTAACTTGCATCTCACCGTGATGCGTACACACGCACGCACGCACACAGCCGGTGTTTCTCTCTCTCTCTCTCTCTCTCTCTCTCTCCCTCTTTCCCTTTTCCCTTTTCCACCAACAATTCGTCACACGTATCCGCGCATAATACGTCCGGACGCGCGGCTATAGACGGCTGTTGCATAGGCGCAAGCGCGGGTCGCGACTCGCGACTCGAAAACGGCGAACGCCCGCTCGCCTTCAGTCGAGCACCGACGTCGACGACGATGACGTCGCCTCCCTCGCTGCGAAGCGCCACCCTCGCCTCAGCCTCGCGCACCGGTGCCATGTGATCCGGCCGTGCCGTGCGAGCGACAGCGGGTTCACGTTGGATCATGATCGATAGTAGCGGTCGATGGTAGCGCACGCGGCCGCGATGCGTTGAAGTTACCCCCCCCCTTCGCCCCTTCCCCGCGAAACGCGCGATTCTCCCGCGGGGTGGCTCAGGTCGGGCTCAGAGGAACTCCGCTTGACGGCGGCTCGCCGCGTCGGAGCTTCGCCGGCGCAGTGAGGGCCCGCAGGAGAGTCACTTGTCGAAGGCTGAAGAATGGCAAGGCGGCACGTCGCCGGCAGCTGCGAGCACGTGCGAGCGAGCCGAGGCGCCGAGGACTGCGAGACGACGACGATTGTTCCGCGAGCGTCGACGACGACGCGGGCCTGAGAGGCCGGGAACTTGCTCGGCCGAGCACGTAACAGTATCACACACAGGGGGTGCGGGTAGACGCGCGAAGACGCGGTGGTGCGTGCACGCACGGAGCATGTGACACGATGCGCTGGTGTGGTGGTCCTTGCGATCTCCTGCGCCGCGAGTTGTTCGTCCTCCTCGTGTTCATCGGCTGCAGCGATGGCTATCTCAATATATTCATCAGCCAGTCGCAGGTCATGAAGCTCTTGGGTACGTACGGCTCATTCGTTTATCATTCGCGGGATGAAACATCCCGTACACGCGCGACCTTTGCCGGGTCGAGCCGGGGGGGATCGTGGAAATCGGCCGGCGATTAAACGCGCCGACAGAGTTGCTCCGGGCTCCATAAAAGTTGCCGCGTTTCTCTCCCCCGTGCAACCCGCTTGGCGCGAGGGCGAAAGGGCAAGGGGGGGGGAGTTCATTCGAGCGCACGCACGAGATAAGAGGAAACATCCCCGCAGCCTCGGGTGATTGGAGTTTTTTGCCGAGTACTTGGTTCGCTCCGGTGTACAGTTGACCGCGGATTTGTTTCAGCAGACGTTCTCTCTCCTCCCCCCCTCTCTCTCTCTCTCTTTCTCTCTCTCTCTCTCGACAAAAGCGAAACCTTCCTGAGGTCTGACGTTTTTTCTTCTGCCCTATGCGAATGCATCAAGATGTTGTTTGGTTTCACGCGCTATGTGGGTCTGCCGGGAGAACGCTCGGGAGGCTTTTCCGCGGAAAAGAATGGTCGCGAGGGAAAAGATGGAAAGTAGATACGCTCCGGCGAGTCGTCGTCGGCGCGCGCTTGAGGAGCGACGATTCCGGTGATCGGGCCGAATCATGTGTACTATTATGATCAAAAAGTATCCGAACTTTATTTTTTTTCAATCGCGGGTAAACAATAAATCAAATCCGTTTGCTTTCTTAAGTTTGGTACACATCCATCCTTCAGATTTGGTGAAAAAATCATGGCGTTCCTTCAAGCTGTTTGAAAGTGCCAGTTGTTTGTGTCAATGAAGATTGTTGCGCACGGCGAATTTTACGATGTCGAAAAATACGGAGCAAAGAATTTGTTTGAAATTTTGTGTTGCGAAATTTCATTCACAAACGCATTCAAAGTGTTGCAAAAAGCTTACGGCGATGATTGCTTATCGAAAACAAGTACGTTTGAATGGTTTAAGAAGTTTCAAGAAGGACGAGAATTCGTTGAAGACGACGTTGAAGACACTCTGGAAGACCATCAACGTCAACGGATGACGCTCACATTGAGAATGTGAAAGAATCGATGCCTCAAAATCGCGTCGATTGACTGTGCGAGAGATGGCAGATGAGGTTGGAATATCGTTTGGATCGTGTCAGCACACAATCCGTAAGAAACGACCGGAATTGTGGGAAAACACAACTCGTGGATTTTGCATCACGACAACGCACCATCGCATACCTCGACACTTGCGCGTGAATTTCTGACAAAAAACCCAACGAATGTCGCAAGCAACGTATTCATCAGACACGGCCTCCTACGCCTCCTTTTTCCTGTTCCTCCTACTGAAAAAACCACTTCGCGGACAGCGTTTCGAATCGATCGAGGACATCAAAGAAAAATCGCTACGTGAATTGAAAAGGCTATACCGTCTGCCGCGTATGAGCGATATTTCCAGGACTGGATCAAACGCTGGCATATGCGCGTTGCAAGCAATGGGGACTACTTTGAAGGAGACCATAAGAATTTTCATGATTGAACTGTAATTTCGACCTTTAAAAATAAAGTTCGGAAACTTTTTGATCACAGTAGTATTTCGCCCGGCACGCGTTATTTGTGTGGGAAGTAACTTTAATTTTATCTGCGCCATTCTAGCGGGACAATCTGTTTCTTACGAGCTATTCTCTCGCCTGTCCTCACGCCTCATCCTGACCTCGCGCAAGCGCTATTTGCAAGAGCGTTAAAATGCTCGTCCCGTCCTCCCCCTACTCCTTCTCCCTCCACCCCCCGCCATTACTTTTTCCATTCAATCTAAACTCGCACGTACATTTCCGCGTGGCGGTAAACATGAAAATTTCCCCTCCCATGGCGATGCTCGTTAACAGGTCCCATTACAATTGCGCGCTGGGCGCGGTATTTTCTGAGAGCAAACGAAAGCTGGCGGACGCGTGGAAAAAGAGTTGACACACACACACACACACATACAGAGAGAGAGAGAGAGAGAGAGAGAGAGAGAGAGAGAGAGAGAGAGAGAGAGAGAGAGAGAGGAAATCTGCGAAGCCGGACCATTACTACACACAGTCGGCGCTACCCGCGCATCAATGCTCTGCTCGTGTAGTCGTGGCCGACGATAAAAACGAGGATCAGACATGTAGTGTTGAAAAAGAAGAGAGAGAGAGAGAGAGAGAGAGAGAGAGAGAGAGAGAGAGAGAGAGAGAACGAGGGTGGGGCGGCACGAGGAAAAAAAGAGAACGAAGCGAAACGCAAGCGGAAGGAAAGCCGAGCTCGAAGGAACAGCGGGGCTGTTAAGAGAGCCTGTTGTGTTGCTGTTCCGACGACAATAGGAAATCGGGCTTTCGCTGAAAGCGATTTGCAAAGGAATAAGGATAACGTAGAAGGATAAGTGAAGCAAAGTGCGGACTTCGCGTCTTCAACCGCGGCTCTGTTGTATCGTTAAGAAGCTGACTCGAATATTCTCTTGGTCATTCCCCAATGAGCCTGCGTGCATGTGAACGATGCCAGGAGCCGGCGCGGATTTCATCGAGTATTAAGGCGTGCGTAAGGGGTTGAGGGAAGTAAACAGATGATAATTAACCTTTTGCTGTGCCCGCGTTTTCGGGGCGACTCTAACGACCCTCGGATCGCGATCTTTATCCGTACGTGAAGGAGTTAGGTTGATAGAAAATATGAAATCTTTAACACCGATGCATCGTTAAAATAATGAATAATTAATTAATAAATCTCCCAATGGATAGCCCTCTCAATATTCGGTAAGGAATTCGATTACCGAACGGTTGATCCCGAAACAAACACTCGAAAAAAAGTATTCTATTTGTAAAGTGATTTTTCCCATAGTCTCATATATCTTAAGCGAAACCTTTTACAGGAAAAGGATTCCTCTTATATCAATTAATTTTTTTCTTATATGAAAAGGAATATGTTGATTTGAATGTCGGCTTCTTTTGTTCAGTCATGCTCTACCTCCAGACATGAACGAAAAAACAACCATGTGCTCATGAAAATATTTGGAACGCTTTTTTAAAAAGGTAGGTGCGTCGCTGCAACACGTAACGAAGATAATTTACCAATATTTAGTCAAATACAATTTATAATCTATTGCAGGAAGTTGAATAATATATTCTTCCTTTTAACTATGTTTCATACAATTGGTTATAACGAACATCTTTGTAATTATGAAGTCCATAACAAAACTGATTGGAAATTTGTTTGTTATAATGATCTTATTTCATTCGTGCCTACTTATTGTAGAACTGATGTCAGAAGTACATCTACATATATATTACCTTTCGCTATACATTATAATAATTTTTTCAAATTAACTAGTATAACCAGGAAGAATAAAGTACAGTAAGAATAAATAATAATCCTCTTAAAAAAAGATTAAATAATCTGTGTATATGGGGAAATTTATATTAAAGTCAATAAGATTTGTATTATACATATAACATATAATTCCTTTAACTTTAAGAATAAAGTGTTTGTAATATTTTCCTCTTAACCTTAGAGGAATCCTCTTGAGGCCATATATAAAAATAAAATCCTCTAAAATTTGAATGATTCCGCTTGTTCTGAAATTATTATACTCTCTTTTGGATGAATGCCGATCGCCATCGAGGAGAGCCGATCATCGTGGCTCTTCTCACTGTCACATCGATAATAATCGCGAGCGACTGCAACATTGCCTCTCAGCGTCCGCGTCCCTTTTACACCCCCGACGTGCAATTAATGCGATTACAATGCGTCACGAGAAGGGGGGTAGGGAGAGACTCCTCTGCAAGAGCCGCTCGCGCGTGCAGTTTTCTAACGAACGCGGCCGGAAAAACGTGGCCCCTCTCTCCCCCCTCTATCTCTTGTTGCGTGCACGCGCTTCGCTCCCCGCGGGGGAGACGTGCTTCGCGCGCGTACCTCGAGGCGTCGCGGTGACGGGACCGCGAAAGAGCGGGCGAAAGGGCGAATTAGCGGGGCCGAGAGCTTACGGCCGAGTGTCATTTCAGCAATTTGCGGCACGAGCCACTCGTTTTAATGGTCGCCGCTCGTACACGCCCGGCTCGCACCGCCGGCGTACGCTGCACGTACGCACATCCGCGGAGTCTCCGTTCCATTCGATATCACTTTACGGCCCTGTGATTCATATCCGCGAGAGCGCGCGCGCGCGCGCGCTTGCTCGCCCGCGAGCTCTCGTGAGCTCGCAGGCGCGTCGTTCTCGCCACTCGACGTCGGTCGGTCGGTCGAGGGTCGAGGTCGGGGGAGGGTTGGACAGGTGCGGTGAGTGAGAGAGAGAGAGAGAGAGAGAGAGAGAGAGAGAGAGAGAGAGGGAGGAGGGGTGGGGGGCGGGGGAGGCGACGGAGGGCCGGAAAAAAAGTGGAATCGCCGTATTTACGAGCGGCCGGCCGCTCGTGACTCTTCGAAAATCGAGGCAATCCCGGCGGTCGCGACTCTCTCCGAATGGCAAAACGGCAAAACGGGTCCGACGCGTTCCGCCGGATGCGTGCTCTATAGCGGTGGGTCGCGCGGCACTTTCATACATTTTACGTTAATCGCGAAATATGGCGCGCCGGTGAGCGCGCAAAAATAGTGCGACAGAGAGAGAGAGAGAGAGAGAGAGAGAGAGAGACGGGGGGTATGAGGGATCAGGCGGAAGGGAAGAGAGAGCGCGTCTGAGTGCGCGAATTGAAAGCGCGGCGCGGTGAAATTTAACGCGCGGCTTTTTCGTTTTCCTTGCCTCGCGCTCTTCCGGTGTCGGTGGTCCACAGCTCGTCAGCAGATAGATGAGAGTTCCGTGCGCCGGCACGGTGAATCTAAGATACGCGGGAAGCGTGACATGATGTGACGTACGACCCGGCGCGGCGCAAAGTTTCCCGAAAACGTTTGTGCATGCGAGGCGTTTGCGGGGAGCGCCGGTGTGCCGTCGAAGTTTCGATCCTACTTTCAACTTGAATGTCAAATTTAACGCACGAGCGTTTAATAAGCTGAAGCCTGCGTCTCTTTTGCTCGTGCTTGACCTATAACC